TTTTTTTTTTTTTTTTTTGCTGTTAACGTAGTTTGTTGTTGCTCTTTTTAGTTTTGGACTACTAAAAATAATTGTTTGATAACTACATTTAGTTTCATTAATGGCGACTTGCGCGATAGCAGTAATGAATACATGGAAGAATTCCTACGTGCCTTTGATTCCAGATACGACAGCGTAAGTTGTAGCTCAGTGCCATCGAATATTTCAGAAATTAAATAAGATGACACGTTTTAGTTTAAGAAATTAAACGAAGTACTAATATTTTGACCAGTTCCGTAAATAACAGTCATATATTTTTACTGACATTTTAAATGCGTCATTTTATTGTCTAACGGACTACCTAATTACTAAAACATATTTAGAGCATTGTTCACGAGTTGATTAACAGCAGAGATTATGACGACCTAAAATGTGGGATTCTTATTACAGGTTCTTTTGTACTTTTTCGGCCGTCAAATAACTTTTTTTTCAGACTTTGTTGTAAATGTATGTTTTAAATAATATCGCTCTAGACAATTCATATTTACAAGTTTTGTTGAAGTTTTTTTGTTACATTTTGAAGTAGTTTTTGTAAATTTAATTTAGTCTGCCTTATCGAAATAGCAGGCGAGGAGACTCAGCAGGTCCCTCGGTATTTGCAGTACTTGTTACGCATATTGCCTCTTTGTGATGAAGCTGGGATGAAACTCGCATCACGGGCAATTGTTTATATTATTCAGGTGTCGAAGTCCTTTGCTGTGGAATTGGTTGAAAAATCCTTGAAGAAAGTCTGTCATAAATTATAGTATTATTTTACTTCAAGCTTTCTAGCAGACGGTTTTAGTATGAAAAAAAAGTTTGCTATAATAGGTTTGTGAATGGTTAGAAGAAACGGAAAGAATGGAAGCGAGAAGGCTTTCTTGTGTGTTTCTGGCCCAACAACTCGCCTTACACACTCCAACTTCGTTCTTTCTACGAGTACCGCAGTTTTTCAAGAACATTTTCAAATTCCTTAGGGATCCAAAGGTATTTTTATAAAGTTTTTTTTCAAAAGAAATTATTTCACAAAAAAGTACTTTTTCGGTATCAATAGTTATACTAAAATGAGCTCAGGTGAACGTACGTGTTGCTTCTGCAAAAGCTTTGCGAAATGCATTGTCAGTTACGTCACGGAGAGAAGCAAAGCAGAAGAATGAATGGTATTCGGTAAGGTTTTCTTCTCTTTTAGTTTGTGGAAATTTTACTTCGGCATTCTAGTTATTTTTATTGAATTACATTCTCTTATAATGGGTTTTACACCTATATTTCAGCGATGTTACGATGAAGCTCTAAGCAATTCCTCCTACGATCCTTTGAGTCGTGAAGATCGCATTCATTCTACATTGCTCATTCTGAACGAACTTTTCCGAATTGGCAATGGGGAGGCAGAGCGCATACGTATACGTTCTATGGGTTTTCAACCTGTGGAAAACATTCGTACTGTAGTGGGGTCAAACGCTATTGACTGGCTTACAGAAAAAACTTATTTGGCTCCAGTCGATAGCTGTACTGCACGGACCCTCATTACCGATCATTTCAAACAGGTTGATTATTTAATTTTTCTTCTTACTTTGTTTAAAGGTAGCTGCTATAAAGATTTTTTGCTGCTGTACGCTTTTAATTGTTAATTTAGTTTTAATGTTCGATGTTTAAATGCATTCATAAGTTTTGAAAAAGGAGTTAGAAGTTCTTATGTACTTTTTTTTTTTTCAAATTTCAGATATGCGAAGAGTGCACAGCTGCTGTATCTTGCAGAATGCCCAGTTGTCAGGCCGTTTTGCTCGAGATTATGCCGAGAATAATATCTTTTCAGAAAACTTTTGTAGGAGACCCAAGAACCTTCAAGTCGTTGTATGTGAATCCTCTTCCCATGTATCATTGTGCTGCTCTGTGCACTGGGAAATACCCTCCTGCATTTTTTACTATTGGCCTTCTTTTTATTCATCGTCCGCAAGAGATGAAAGAAGTGCTCGATCAGCTAATTCTAAACATACAAAACTTGCTCAGTAGCGCTGCTCAAAAGTGAATTTTCATGATTTGAATTTATTCTTCTTTGTGATATTCAAGTAGATTGCTGTGCTTAATTCGGTCTGTCAGTTAAAATCATTTTTAGTGAACTGAAGTTGTAGAAGTGACTAGTTCAACATTTGTTGTAGGAGAAAACCGGTAGATGAGAATTTGTTTCTTTGTCTTAAATTGGTAGTCCGATCTCAGATGACAGAGGTGGAAGCCCAGATAAGAAGTCTCTTGCCAATTCTTTTTTCTACCGGATTGTCGAAAGGTATTTCCATCTTTTTGGTCTTGGTACTTATTTAAAGCAGTTCTGCATGGTTCAGTCTAGTGCTGTTTTAGGAATAGTTTCATTGATTTGCAGGAAACACCACAATAGCTATTTAAACTGTTTTACTGATACGCCTTAACATTTTCCCAATTTTAATTAGAATTATCAAGATTTTTTAAAGGTTTGACCGACGTAGTATATGAAATAAAGATTTGTATTCCGTCTCTGAAAACTATGGTCCAAGAAGGTTTATTAAAAGAATTATGTCAGCTCTTAATGGAGCGTAAATTACCCGGTAAGCTGGATCCACCCTCAGAACCATTCGAGCCGTCTGGTCCAATAGCAATTCCGAATGTATCAGTAGTAAAATTAGCCCTTGCTTCTCTCAGCAGATTTGATTTCCATTCCCACCACTTATTAATGTTTATACGTTACATAGCTCACGTAAGTTCTGTTAATAGATCTTTATTCTAAAGGTTCTTCATACCTGTGTGGTTCCCAGCTGTTTTTTGGTTACGAATTATTTTCAGGGTTATATGACATGCGACAACATCGAGATTAGATTAGCAGCTGTTGAATGCTGTATACGTATATTAGGGCCGTTTGTGAAAATGTTTGACTCTCCGACCATTGTTGACAAGAAACAGCGCGCTGACGTCCTCAGTTTGGTACAAAATGTCATAAGAAAGCTTCTTTCGGTCGCAGTCGTTGATTCATGTAACGCTTCACCATATGCTTTCAATTTGTTCTCTTCTTTCTTTTTATAACCAGAAACTTTTTTTATAGTTTCCCTTATAGTTCCTTACTTACCTCGACTATTTTAGGCGTCGAAGTTCGCCTTACTGTATTGAAGTGTTTTCAAAAAGCAGATACGGCGTTCCTTTCTCATCTTGCCCAAGCAGATATGTTAGAACTGGTGTATATGAGTTTACATGATGAAAAACTTGAAATTCAAAAAGAAACTGTAGCACTGTTAGGCAAACTTGCTGAACTGAACCCTGCTTTTGTGTTGCCGAGGATGCGAAAGGTGCTTTTGGAGACGCTGTGTCAGTTAACTTACAGTCGTGTTGGCAGGTCTGTAATTTGACGTAACTTTTTATAAAGAATTCGTGTTTTAGCTGGGCACGTAAACCTTGCTAAAAACGTTTGAGAATTGTTTGAGAAGATGTGACTTTTCGCAAGTTTTTCTTTTTTCTTGGTTGAAAGTGTTATTCCATTTTTAAATTATTTCTAATTAGGCGTCCCCTAACGCCATTCTTTTTTATTTCATGGTATTATTAGGTAATCAAAGACTTTAGCTGTTTGTCCAAGCTTTTTTGCTACTGAAATTGAGAGCATCATTGAAGACAGGCCTTGTTTAGGTTAGAAAAGCACAGTGCTCAACTTATTAACCAAATTGCTTACCAGTCACCGAAGTTTATGAGACCGTACATGAATCCAGTACTTTCTGCCTTAATACCAAAACTTCGGATAGAGCTTGTTCATGTTGACGTAACTGTTCAGGTTTTGTTGTCCTTTTGCTTTTTGATTACCTCTGTTTTATTCTTTACTTTTGTTTCTCTTATGGAATGTGTTGATGTTATTATTTCTGTATAGGTTTTAAAAGCTATCAGTGAGCTCTCGTTTGCCGGCGGTGTCGATTTGGTTAGATCTCGTGAAGCTTTATTTGGTCCGCTAGTACAGTTTTTACAAGATTCTAGTAGTATCAATCGGAGAGAGGTAGGTACTAGTTTTTTATTTATTTTTTAGGAGGCTCATTTTTAACAACTACACCGAAGCAAAATTTCTTAAGTAGAAGTTCATTGTCTCCTAAAACTGTAGGTGTTTGGGAAGCGCAAACCTGTTTTATAGAACTCACTTCTCCCTTGGCAAACGCAGCGACGTTTTCATGAAATTAATAACCTAATTTAACTCGACTGTTGATTTAGTAAGACTGAAATCACGTATAAGTTAACTAGACGTGAGAGGGCGGATGATAGGGTGATGACAAATTTTTTAAAAAAGACGACTGTTGGAGAAACATTAGGAAGAGTTGTGTTATAATATTAATTAAAACTGGATGGATTGTTTGATTTTACTGTTATTTAAGGCTGCATTGCAAACTTTTGGTCGTTTATGCCAAAACATGGGTTACGTAGTTGATCCATATAGGGATTATCCAGGACTGCTTGATATACTTTTGAGGTTGTTAAAGAGCGAAATGAATCCGTCAATGAGGAGATCTATAATGAGGGTACCGTTTTAGTCTTCAGAGTATAAAATTATTTTAGTGCTTTTTATCATTTACTGTAAAATATCTAGGTCCTTGGTATTGTTGGTGCACTTGACCCTTATATGCACAAAGTTTACACTGGGAAAGTTCATTCGGTCGATTCTAGTAGAATGGCACTTTCTTTGCCATCTCCTTCTTCAAGCATGGATATGAGGGACGGTTAGTGGTTTCCGAACATGATGTTCCTTTCTTTTTGTGGGTGGGGGAGAGGGGGATGACGGGGAATTAAAGAAAATCTTTTTAATTTTATTTTTTTTAATTTTAGTTGATTCTTGTCCTAGTTTTTAAATGTTTTTATACAACTCTCACTTTTGTAGATCATTGTTATTTTGTAAATAAAGATAAGGTTTGGTGTGAAAAAGGCGGATAAGTTTTATTCCGCAATTACATTTGCAGAACCTATTTAGATATAATTAAATGGTATCATTACGAAAAGTGCACACTTGCCGAGTTCTATCCAGCGTTTACTATTGCAAGCCTTATGCAAATGCTCGACGATGAAACTTTATTAAGTTTGCACAGAGCCATCATTCAAGCTCTCTTTACTATTTTCGCTAGCTTGGGGAACAAATCAGTGCAATATGTTGACAGGGTATTTTTTGAGCTCTATTATGCGTGTAGATGTTGGTCTACCGAAGTTTTATTTATTTAGTTAGTAATTTTATAACAATTTTATCGAAGTTTCTGGTAAGTCCTGAGGCACTGCGTCCCAAATGTTAAATATTTAGATCCTATAAACTTGCCTTGCAGTCGCCTTTCACCTTACATTTTAGGTCATCCCGCGATTAATCGAAGTTGCGCAAAATGCGACTGTGAACACTGATCGCTTATTTTACTTGCAACAAATTGGAAACTTGAGTTCTGTCATAGGAATCAGTATGAAACCATATGTTGAGAAACTGTTTGATTTGGTTGCTGTGAGTTTCAAGCATTTACAATTCTAAATCTTTTACGAAAAGTTTGTTCTGCGGTATTTGAGTAAGACTTGACTCATGGAATTTCAGAGGAATTTTGACAAATTTTTTGTGTATTTTGGGAACCAGTAGTTTTTTTTTTTTTTTTTCTTTGAAAGAACGGTTTCTTTCTCAGATAACGAAGTGGGCCACTTGACCAATTAATGTCGTGAACAGTTTTTTTTGTTTAATTTACAGATAACTTTTCTTCACGCTTTTATCTCAAGTATACACAGTTAACTTTTTAGACAGCATGGTTTGAAGATGATGAAATGAAAATAACGGTAGTTGACGTAATGCAGAAACTTGGAGCTGCATTTGGTGCATCGTTTTCTCCATATGTTGCCGAGTTATGTCCCTATCTTCTGAAAGTAGTGCAGACTGACAGAACTGCGGAAAGGAGGCTTACTTGCAAGGTTTTTTCGTGAGATTGTTTCTCTTATATTTTTGCTTTACTGCTTTACAGAGTCTATCTGACATACAAAGGCAATAATCAAAACTTTGGTTTGAAATTGAGTAGTTTTGCGGTTTTTATTTGTTTTTTTAGTATGTAACTACACCTGTATGGTTTACAGGTATTTACTTGTGTGCAGTCTATCTCAGTGTGTTTGGGACCGTATGTAAACCTTGTCATTCCTCCGATACTTTCGATTCTTGACGATCCAAGTGTGAAGATGGAAGTGCGGCAGCTGGCTCTGAACACTATATATCATTTAAGCTGTACATTATGCTTGATACCGAATGCACCGCGTATTGTTCAAGTCTGGTTGCGGGTTATCTCCGTACCAGCTCTCCAACCAAGACTTTTGGACTTGCTTGTGGTCAGTGTGAAACAGGTTCGGCGTTTCGTTTTCTGGAATTTTTTGGACGCTTTTGACTGTTATTTATTTAATCTTTCTTCGACTGTAGCCCTTCCGTTCGTTCAAATGTCAAAAATTGTCTTTTTTGTACATAATTTACAATTGAAGATGTGGCGTCAATTTATGGTCTTCCGTGAAAGTGTGGACGCTGTGCTTTCGAAACACGGCCTTTATTGTGAGGAATACTCCAAGTAAACTGCCCTATCACTAAAATTTTGTAACCATTTTTGTCTAAGGCCTTTTTTCTTTTAGAGTACAGGAAAGTAAGTAAGTAAGGGAAAGAATATTGAACAATTTCAGACTGATTGCGCAGTTAGATGAGTCGAGTTCTGTACCCGCTCCGCCTCTTATTCCGTTCGGTTTATCACCCAATGGACCATTCAACTCTGCTACTGTCAAACGTCCCGAGAAGCATCATGTCAACCATAATGTTTTGAAGAAGGCATGGGCAGTTGGGCACCAAGTTTCTAAAGAGGTTTTTTACAAAAATTATGCTTTCTGAGCATTTTTTAATTTATTTCGTATCAGGCAGGTTGTTTCAAGAAAGTCCTACTTTTTTACACAAGTTATTTGAGTTCCTAATAGTTTTTACTTTTTCAGGACTGGGACCAGTATTTAAGCTTTCTACGTAGGATGTTTATTCGGCAAAGTCCAGCTCCGCCTCTCCGAGCATGTGCTCCACTTGCAGATGTACATCAGCTCCTCGCAAAGTTTGTTTTATTTTTTTATTTAATTCACATTTGGAAGCATGAGGCGTTTTACATTGTTATTCTGTATAATAATAATTGGTTAAGAAAACATGCAGTGGTGAGAAGGGGTAGCACAAGGTGGAGGAACCATGGTAAGGGAACTTACTTGAACGTCTTGTAGATTTAACCGCTCTGGTAATTAAAATAAATTAAAAATTTAGAGATCTTTTTAATGCTGCATTCATCTCTGTTTGGACCGATATGGATGAGTCTCAACAAGATGAAGTTAAATCTTGTTTGGAAAAGGCACTTGAACAATGCAACAATTCTGACCTGATACAAACAATTTTAAACCTTGCTGAATTTATGGACCACTCGGAGAAGGTGATTACTTCCCCCACAATTTGGCTTTATTCTTATAGTTCTTCTTGCCTGATCTTCTTGTTAGGGGCTTTATTGAAACAGTGTTTGACAGTTTTAGGGTCCTTTGCCGATAAAAGGAGAACTGTTGAGTAAGGGAGCAGAACAAGTAAGAGCATACGCTAAAGCCTTACGTTATACTGAACTCGCCATAAAAAAGGATTTCCTTGAAAGTCCTGACCCTGAGCATTGTAGGGCTCTAATCAAGTTAGTTTTTTAGTTACTGAAAATTTTCTGTTCTACATTTTTCTTATTTCTCAAAATTTCATTTTTAGCTATGCAAACAAGTTAAATGTTCAAGAAGAAGCTGCCGGGGTTGTAATCTTCGCAGAAAAACACAAATTGAAAATTAATGTTAGTTTTTGAAATTTCGCTCAACGCATTTTTCTCTGAAATTTTTTATTGTTATGAAGTGAAATGTGATGTCATTTCTTCTGTTATATCTCGTTATTGATGCCTAATTTTGTCAGAGCAGTTCGAGTTTAAAAGGATGGGCTTGTCCATTTTTCTCGGATTGCAGTATCTACATCTTTCTTTTTCTTTTTGTTAATTGTTTATAAGCGGTAAGGTAGGTCTCATCTTGTTTGGATGTTGGTTTAAATGAGTTTTATTGATTTTGCCTGTAAGTTTTGAAATTTTAAATTTTATATCTTTTAGATGCAGGGCCGTTGGTATGAGAAGCTTAATGAATGGGAAAAAGCATTAGAATTTTATCGTGAAGAGAAATCACTAAATGATGAGGTACCTTTACTTGGCCCTCGTTTTCCTTGATGTTAAATTCGCGGTTTTGTGTGGACCTTAACGGTCATTAAGGAACCATAATAATTTTTATGATTCCCCTGCAAACAATTTTATTTGTTGGATTTATTACTCTGTTAAGTGAAGTCAAGTTCTTGTGTCGCTCAGGTATATATGCATCAAATGCGGTGCTATGAAGCCCTAGGACAGTGGAATGACTTAAATGCATTGGGCAAACGTGCGTTTTCAACAAAAGCGCAACCTGCTGATTTGGAACGGAGGCAGAAAATGGCTGTGATTGCGGCTCGTGGAAGTTGGGCAGTTGGTACTCCTTTGAACCATTCGTTGTTCCAAGCAATTTTACATGATAAACTTAACGATGTACTTGTATATATGGTGCCAGCTATTAATAATGGTCACTTTAAGGTGACTGGGAGAGTATGAAGAAGTATGTAGATCATATCAATGAAAACAATCAAGACGGTTCATTTTTAAGGGCAGTACTTGCAGTACGTGAGGATAGATACAAGGATGCTTATGATTATATTGAAAAGGTAAGTGTGAAGAAATTCAAGATATTTAGGTCTCTTGTTGTGTCAACTGGTTTCTCTGGCTTTTTATTAGGAATTTTAGATTAAAGTCTCATACTAATAGGTTCGTGATATGTTTGATGCGGAGTTGACTGCTATGGCGTCAGAGAGCTACGAGCGTGCTTATGGTGCAATGACATTGGTGCAACAATTAACTGAACTTGAAGAAGCTGTTGAATATAAGTGTAGGTCTGAGAGGCGAGCGCAGATCTGCGTTGTGTGGAGTCGTCGATTACAAGGCTGCCGTCAAAACATTGAGCAGTGGCAAAGGCTTCTTCTAGTTAGGTATGCCAGCTTATTTTTTACGTGTATGTACCATTATGGTTCATTTTTTTTCATTTTTTCAGTGCATACAATTGGTTACCATAGAAAGTTATTATGATAAAGCTTCGTGTTTCAGCACCTTTGCTCTTTTTAGAGTTGAAATCTTATCTTTATGAGATCGTCTTTTATTTTATGGGATGGAAAGTTTTTCAGGACTCTGGTGCTTTCTACAGATGAAATGCGTCCTCTTTGGATTAAATTTGCATCACTGTGCAGAAGACAGGGTAATTTATCTATGTCAAGACGTGTTTTAAACAAAATGCTGAAGCTAGATGGCGAGAAGGCTTTGCATGAGATCGCTTTTGAATCACTCTCAAATGAAAACCCATCACTAGTATTAGCAGTATGTAAGCAGCTGTGGGCCGAAAAACGTGGAGAAAAAGCATGCGATATTTTGGAAAAGCTCGTGCAGAAGCATCAGGATGCGAAGGTTTCTGTTTTTTCTTTTAGCATGGAACATTAACAGTTCAAAATATTTTTAAAATGACTTGATTTCATGTTTTTTATTTTGAACAATTATTTTCAAGGCAGGAAAGCTGTATTTTTTTTAACATTTAAAAACTTATTTCCTTTATAACGTACGCTTTTTTTGCTCAGATATTATATATTCCCAGAAAAGTGGGCCCAAAAGTTGATGAGTTTGGTTGGTAGTGGAGTCGTGTATGTGTGTTGTCCTAACTTGCCATTCTCATCATCTTAATGTGTGCTTGGAATAATAAGCCTTCTAGACAAATTTTTATTTTTCAGGAGTTTTTCCCTTTTAAGGTTGCTTTTTACAAATTGTTTCTTATAACAATGCCTCTTTGAAATATGAAACTCAACAGACCATTCCCTCCTTTAGTTTTTCTTACCTCTTTTACTCGCTTTTTTGCAGCTTTTAATGCTAGCGTCAGACGCTCGTTCACCTATTTTATCAAGACATCCGCTGGATCAGGTTTATTTTAAACTGTTTTGTTAAATAGAACAAAATAACTTTGATTCATGTTTATTGAACCCGCTTTAGATAAGTTTGACGTTGGTTCTGTACGGCTATTTCATTTTCAAATTTAATATTTTTATGGCCACTAAAGAATTGTTGAGATAAATCATGTTTTCACACAGATTTCTCAGTAACTTTTTTTTATAAGAACAACTTCTTAGCTTCAGCTATGTTAGATTCTTTCAGCATCACCAGGTAACAAAGAACAACTCGGATCGTAGTCGTACTATGGCAAAGTGTTGCCTTAAGCTGGGAGAATGGCAAGAAGCCATTGCGTCTTCTACTAATTCACAAGTTACTCTTGTTAGTGGGTCCAGTTCGAGTGATGCGGCTACATCAGCAATCAAGAGAGATGACATTCTGAAAGGTTTTTTGGCGGTAGCGCGTTCGTCTTTTTCGACGGAGGAAACGAAGTTGGAATGCCTTTCACAACAAGCGAAGACAACACCGATGGAGAACTTTACAAAGGCCACAAGTTATGATCCAACATGGTATAAAGCGTGGCATAAACTGGCCTCCACTTACTTCAATTTGGCAATGTATCCTGCTAAAAGCGAAGTAATTCTTGATCTTGGTATATTTCTTGGGGATTCTAGATTCTGTTCTACCTTCGCTTTCTAGTTTGGATTAGCAACATTGGGCCTTTAGGGACAAAAATATTTTTGTTGAGAGCGTTTGGTATTAAAAAAGCAGAAGTTTTTGGAAGTAAGTGATGCTGGGTTCTGAGCATGATCTTCTGTCTTCTTAATTAATATTAGTATCATTTTAGGCCAGGCCGCAGCTTACCAGCGTACCTGTCATTACTTCTTTTGGAGGCTCAACACCCTACCAACTAAACCCTTCGGGGAAAAAATATTCTTATGGGGTAGATGGTAATATGTCTCAACAACCTATGAAAACGCAGATTGCGCAGTTGAATTCTCACAACCCACAAATTTCTGCGCGGTTGAATATTCAGGCTTCACAAATGGCTCCTCATTTAGTTTCTGAAATCCAAGGCGGACAGCCGCATATTAATCATCAACCGCTGGGAGTGCCTCCTCGTATTAATTTCGATTCACAACAAGTCCCACCTCACCTTGGTCATCAGGCTCTGCAGATGACGCAGCATTTGAATCATGAGCTACAACGAGCTCAGCAACGAGCAGCACACCATGGGGTTCAAATGCCTATCTCACAACAGTACA